TGTTTTGTGTGTGTGTGTGTGCGTGTGCGTGTGCGTGCGTGCGTGCGTGCGCGCGCATATTTTGCTGTATCTTCACTTTCATGTTTTGAAAGATTACTAATTCAGTTGATTATATGCCTGTGTTTCTTACCTGAACTTCTTGCATAGTTTATCTTTTTTTTCTCCAATGTAAAGAAAAAAAGGAAGAAAAAGACTGTGTATGAATTTTAGCTAAAAGGTGAACAGGCTTTATAACTATATCTTATCTCTCGCTCGTATTCTATTGAAACGCCATTAAAGAAATAGGTGATATTTCATTTATTCTTTCTCGGTCATGGTGAAGCAAACAGTAGTAGAAGTAGTAGTATCAGTAGTAGTAGTATATAGAGTAGTAATAGTAGTAAAAGGAAACGCAGTTGAAATTTCACGGTGCTTCTTACAGACTTTCCAAAACTTTTCGTACAAATACTTCTTACAAAAGTATACAGTTTTAAGATGAAGGGAGTCGCTTTGGAACTTTCGTGGAAAATCCGTCGAAACAGAGTTGATCGTTTTAATTTTAAATTAGGCTCCTTCGTAGACTTTCTGAGGAAACTTTCCTCTTTGAGCAGCAAACATCAAAGTGTTTGAGATGAACGGACTTAACTCTCGGTGATCCTTCGCAAATGGATTAGAACACATATACAGCTTTTTAGCAAATGATAACGTTTTCATGTAGGAAAGAGTAAATCACCTTTTTTAACGTATCTTTTATCCATATTTAGCGGAGTGTACGCTTTTTAAGAAAAATTTTGCAGACATAGAGACAAATATTTAGCATTGCGTGACATAAAAGTAATTTTTTTCTAATTTGTTTCGCATTATCTGCGAAAGAATGTTTTTTATGAAGAAGAGTGAAATGAACAGGTCGTTTATCACAACGGTATCGAGTCCATTCTCGTTCATCATCAAAAGCTTACTGCACACAGGAGTGAAGATAACTTTGAAAAATTTCGCGAATCTCCGTCGGAGGAGAGAACAATGCGAGCTATTTGAGCACAAGAGCGGGGATATTGAAGCTCATCGTGAACGAGACCAACGTGTTCCGAATCAGAGTTGCCGCGGAATCGCGACTCGTGGATTTCCCGTTTCTCGTTCATCGTTAACGAGAGGAGTGGGCCTCGAGTGGTGATCCGCGAGAGATCTGGAAACCAACCCTTCCGTCACTATACAAGACTCGCGTACACGTCTTATCATACCGAGCACAGGGACACAAACACACAGCCACACACGAAAACACTGTGTCGATTATTAATTAAATAAGCCTTAAATTTAGGATTAAGAGTTGACAGAGCGAAACGAAAAGAGAAGAGAAAGAGAGGAGGAGGAGGAGGAGGAGGAGAGAGAGAGAGAGAGAGAGAGAGAGAGAGAGAGAGAGGGAAAAGAAAGAGAATGAGAGAGCATTGTTTGTACATACCGAAGCACTCATGGTCCAACATTACGAACGATCCGCAGCTTCAAAAAGGCGCAAAATTCTCGTTTTTCTTTTTCTCCGCGATTATTACTCGATCGATTCATTCCTCGGCGATGACAGCATTGTTGTATTATACATTCCTTCAATCTTCTTTTTCTTCTCTCCACAAATTCTTGCCGTTATCGCATTCGACGCTAAATTACGCCCGTGCCTCTTTTTCGCATCGCTCACCGTCTTGCCCGACGTTAAAATCTGCGACGAAATTCCTTCTTCTTTTTTTTTTTAAATTAGTTTTTAAGCTTCGTTGTTACGGAGAGCAAAAGAACATAATTCGAGGCACAAACTTCTATCTCAATCGTTCCGCGAGTTTTTCACCTCGCGGACACGATTCTTCTCAGGGTCGTGTAAGCGCGTGGATGCATCCGTAGTCATCCGGAATCACTCCGAAGGACAAGTTAAAAATGTCACAAGACATAGAATTGCGAATTGGCGTTTACATATTCACGACATATTCGTTTTCGAAACCCGTCAGATTCTACAACTCTTTAACGATAACTGTGTTATTGATGGGTACTTTCCATTTGGTGACGTCAAATATTGTTCTGTCTTTGTAATTAACACAAATATCGTTCTGTCTTCGATACTCACGAAATACAAAGAAAGATAGAACGACGTTTGTATCCAACAATGTCCAGTTTCTACCAGTTAACTTTAATCTCGTTTCGACTTACTCTTCATCTTTTAATTCTTAGAATTAAAAAAAGCTGATGAAGATTAAGTCTTGAATTATGATTAAAATTAAACTACATTGGTACTGTTAGGTAGAAACGAGCATAAATGGAAAGCATTCAATCTTTCGTTCTCATGACGGGTTATTGGAGCGCCGCGGTCGCTTCCGGTCGCTTACGCGAACCCGTGCGTCAAAGCCGGTGAATTAGAAATCGTTCGATTAATTAAAAGACATCTCGAAGGGCTAATTAATTCGTTTATAAGTGGCTGGTGACACGTTTGTCGACACGTTTGTGGCAGGAGGGAGGAGTTCGTCACTTACCAGAGCGTTTCGCGCGCGTTCTCCGCCGGGGAAGACCCGTTGACGTGACAATATATACAATATATGTATTCTTTTTATCCTTCCTCCCGCCATCGCGTGTGAACAATTCGGTAAAACGGAGCAGCGCGATGCGACGATGCGAGAGACCCGTCAGGGGAGAGGATTAATTTTACGCGATTCATGCACCTCGCGAGAGAGGAAAGTTGCCTCTCCTTGAAACTAGAGACTCTTTAGTAAGAAGCTGGACATGAGAAACTTTTAATTGATCCGCTATGTTTTAACAATTCCTGGAAGAAAGAAAGATAGAGAAATAAATAAGAAAAAGGTAGAACAGAAAGAGAAAGAAACAGTAAATGTCTTTCTTTCTTGCAGATTTTTGTTAAAACTATTACTTTACATATACAAAACTGCGGTTCGTGTCCAGACTTATTGAAGAGTCTTTCTCTACTTGAAACATGGAAGTTGCTCCCCGTCGCTCGCACCGCCGAATGCGCCGCCGAAAGCGAGGAGAATTGTCCGCCAGTACGGCGAGAGAACGCATTGACTATTTGAGCGAATCGAGACCATGTACCTTGATATATATATATTATATAATATAT